CTTTTGGCTCCGGTCACCTGACCCAATAATTTGCCCTTCCTTCCACATTCCGACCATTGACCGCCTCTTCGCCGATGATCGCTTCTGGCTTTCGATATCCTCGCTGATCGCCTTCGTGCCCAATCGGAAACTGACGACATAATCATTATCATGAACACCATCAACGTAAGCAGCCTGTGAGCATATCCTGCAATTCCTTCCCCATCGGCACCGCGCCTGACATCACCATCCTCAATGACGACAAGTCATAGGTGTCCACCGCCTCACTCTTCAGCATCTCCACCACTATGGGCGGCACAAATGGTGCCACCGTAACCCTGTACTTCTCCACCAACTCCATCAACTTCATGAGGACAAACTTCATCATTATCACAATAGCCAACCAGGCACACAGCCCACAAAGCAAAACAGAGTTAAGGGAATAAATATGGAACAGGGGAAGCACGCAGAGCAGATCATCTTCCTTATGAAAAATAAAGGTTTGGGTTTTCTCCATTGTTCAGCAGGAAAAAATGTATATTACTAGAATCAGAGAGATTTACTAGAATCAGAGAGATCAATTGGCTCCTTTGCACTTATTTCTTCAATCTTCAACCGAGAGCTTCGCCATAATAGTTGTGGAGAGAACAGTTAAGCAAAGAAGCAGTGTTTGCGTTTGGCGGGAAGAGCGTGCGAGCAGCTAAGGAGAGAAGCACGCGGAAGAATAGCTAATGCATGAAGAGGGAAGCGGTGGCCATCGGCGAAGAGGCGGACGATGGTCGGAATGGGGAAGGAAGAGACGGAGTGAAGACAGAGTGGTATTTCTGTTGGAAAATTAGTATTTGGGTGGCAGTAATGTAATATTTAACTTTTGGGTGTTAAATATGTAATATAGATATAATAAAATGGCATGTATGTAATATTAAAAAAATAAATTAAAAATTAAAAATCAATAAAAAAAACGGTTGCAATCGAAATCTTAAATTTACTTTCTCAAATAAGACGATTACAGCATATTTTTAAAAAAAAAAAAAAACTATGTTGCCCGTACATTCATCAAAAATTATTGTTGTATGTATGATTAACATGCAATGCAAAAATTTTGATTTTATATTTTTGTAAAGTCGTAATGCAACTATTTAGATTTTATTTGAAATACTTTTCATATTACTATCTAAATTAGCTTTCAAGTAAACAAATTTTAGCTCAAAAATTTTGTGTATTATAATTTTATTTTTTCAAATAAAATCTTATTATAATATTTTCCTTCTATATTTATTAAGCTTAATATCTTCAAATTTATTTTTCATGAAAAATATCATTAGAGGATTTGTATTATTATTGAACTATATCACACTTGAAAATAGAGTTATATCTTTTCTAGTGTATATCTAAATAAGTCCAAAACCTTCTTCAACTAGGATTAGCTCAGCTTGAGGTGAGCTAATAACACAAGATGGACTCGTCAAAGGACAAAGAACTCTTACCGATAATCAATTATAACTTTTCCCTTGCAAGAGGGGATATTTGCCCTCGCCAAAAGGAAAAATTATTAGGTGCGGAGTGCGGATGGGGTGAGAACCGTCTGCACATACACAGGGTACCAAGCAGTACCCACTGGTACCGAGTGGTACCGAACGGTACTGAGCGCGATTTTATACTAGTGTGCAGACGATTCTCCTGTCCGCACTCCGTACCTAATAATTTCTCCGCCAAAAGGTCACTCACTTCAGCTAAATAGAATACTCACCCCAATCAAAACGTGCTCACCCTAACTAAAGGGGACACTTACTCCAACTAGAGGGTCATTTGCCCTTTGCGTAAGGACTAAGTCGTGCAAGTTTAAGGATTCACTCAATCGGTCAAATAGGAGAAACTAATTTATGCCTACTCAAAGCTAATAACTTCATCACCAAGTTGGCATTTCCATCTAAAAACTTGTGATATCTCCAAAAGTGGAGTCAGGGTGGGAGCCCTAGAGGCATGAATCCCCAATGGCCTTGCAAACTTTTTTACATTCTTAAATGAAATTTGGGTTAGAGTTATAAAATATAACCCCAATATATAAACAAGCAAGCTTTCTTCTAGAGTTTCATCTCGAGCCTCCCATCCATTCTTGATATGCCACTCAAAATTCACATTAATCGAGCATGAATCTCAATGTAAAAATGAGATTGAGGCATCAAGAATTAAAATCGGGATCATCTGATCTCCAATTTCAGCAAGCTTATAGTTGAATTGAACATATCAAGGACACGAACCTAATGACATCAAATTTGTTCCAATCTGAGCCAGAATAAGTCCAAATCAAAGGCTCAAAGTTAATTTTAAAGCTTCATATAACATTAATTGGACTACCAAATGATATCCAAATATGACATGCTTATAGTCGAAACGAGATGCTCTATAAGACGAATAAAACGAGCCAATTATCACTCAATTCTGGCATTTCTATGGTATCTAAATGCTTGATAAACACTTTATGATCAAAGGGATCACTATGAGCTGTCTAATGGAACACTCCCAACATGTTATTGATATTATCTAAATTTACTAGTCATGTCACTCTAAAAAAATATAAATAGACCCCTCGTTCTTCATATGAGGGGGAGGAAGAAATGGAGAAAACTTGGGGAGCTCACATGTCGTCAACCATCGTTGAATCTCTTCCTGACCATCGACCGTACCTGGATTTTTGCTCGTTCGTCGACTAGTGCAGGATCTCTTCCCGACTATCGACCATCGTTGGACTTCCAACCATTCATCAAATGTCACTATGTCTCTTCCCGGCTATCGACCATCAATAGGCTGCCGCCCTTTCATCGACTGCTGCTGGATCTCTTCCCTACCACCGACTGTCACTAGACCTCTGCCCATTTGTTGGATGTCGTTGGATCTCTTACCAACAACTGACTGTCACTAGATTTTCGCTCGTTCGTTGGTTGTTGCTAGATTTCTTCCA